AGGTGGAGAGAGTCGCCCCTAGTGTCCCTGGCCCCGACCTGGGCCATTCACCCAGCACCCACCTGGCTGGTGCAGAGTGCCCAGGCTCTGCAGCCACCAACACAAAGTTCTAATAAATCCCAGAGTGCATTTGAAGTCCACCCGAGTGTGTGCGGTCTCTCCCTTAGTGCCTTTCCCTAAACTGCTTCCTCCAGGGGGAGCTCCCAGAATCCAGGAAAGCTCCGTCTGTGGAGAAGTCACAGGTTACCAGATGGCCGTGCACAGGGCGCTGACCACTCAGAGGTGGCCTCTTGGGCGAGTGGGCGCTCCTAGCTCAGCCTGATGGGCCCCAGGGCTTCCTTTGTCCCACTTTGTCCCTTGAACCAGTGAGGTTATTTCTTACTCTGCTGGGTGGCACTGAGGGCGAATCCCTAACTTTCTGATCTGACCCCTTTTAGGTAAAAAGGTCTCCTGCTCAGCAATTAATATGCAGAGCCAACCTGGTCTAAAAATTAAAAGTGTACTCTTCCTAGAAGAGTATACCTCCTCTTCCCATTTGGGGGCACAGGGCTTTGTGGGTAACTTCCGTGGCCCCGGAGATGTCCACTTCCTCATCCCCACAACTGGTGGATACAGCCCTACAGGCGAGGTGGCTTCCCAGATGGGGTGAACTGAGGGTCTTGCAATGGGAGCCGTCCTGGATTGGCCGGGTGGGCTCGCGTCATCCCAGGGATTTGGGAGAAGGGAGAGGAAGGGCTGCCACGGAAGAGGAGGCCGTGGGAAGCGGGACACCGTACTGCGGGTTTGGAGCACCGTCCCCTCCGACTCATTCTCTCCTTGGGCAACGGTAGCCCACTGACCGTGTAGACGCCTCATCTATGAGCAGTTCAACTGACCGTGTAGATGCCCCACGGAGCAGGTGGCGCCGCTGGCGGCTGGGAGGGACAGTGAGCAGGTTGGGCGGACGCTCCGGGAGGACCCAGCCTGGCCACAGCTTGGTTTTAGCCCCTGAGGCCTGCTTCAGACTCTGGCCTCCGAGCCGTCAGAGTCCGCGGGTGCTGCTGCAGCCACCGAGTGTGCGGTCTGTCTCCGTGGCCACGGCACAGACCCAGCCTCTGCCGCACAGCCCCGGACGGCCGCCCTCCTGTGTGCTCCTGCGGGGAGCCTGCACTGTTCCGGGCCGGGAAACCAGACCTGCCCCTGACAGCGCGGCCTTAGCCCCTGTGGTGTGGCCATGGGCCACCCAAGAGCAAGGGCGCTGGGGCCGCCCCGGAGATGGGAGGGAGGCACACAGAGAGGGCACGCTCATCAGCACAAGGGAGCCGAGGCACACCAGGGTGCCAGGGGGGAGCTGCGTGAGAACCAAGAAATAGTCTAAGAGGAGCGCCTTCGAGGGGGTCCTCCCTGCAGCAGGACCACATATCCACGTATCTGGAAACATCCATTATTGTGAGGTCACGGGTTATAAGGATGGGAAATTCAGGAGGGACTCTCGGAGCACCTATGCGCGGGTCTTCCTCATGCTTGGTCCCATGCAGACCCCACCGCCGGCCACCGGTCTCACCATCACGGGTGTCCAGCCACTGCGCGTCACGCCCTGGCCTTGCAGACACCCTCCCTCCAGGCACCCCCGCGGCCACGGCACCAACCACCAGACAGCGGGGGAGGCCTGCCCCGTCTCCTCAGTGATGCCTCTGAGGGCTGTGACCATCCCAGTCTCAGGCATGATGGGTGACGGGGCGTCCGGGTCCGGGGGCTGCCCACAGAAGGGCTCACTGAGATCCGACAACTTAACATTGTCGCTGCATTGTGAACACGCGTTAAAGAAGCTTCCCAAAGTAAAGACACCCGTCACCTCTGACTTCACCATCTCCACTGCTGGGCAATGGTGGCCGGCTGACCGTGTAGACGCCCAGCTGGAGCAGTCCAGCTGACTGCATA